GCCAGCATGGCTGGCTGGGGGATTCCTGGAGTTTGAGTCCACTCCTCTTAAAAGGGCCAAGTTTGGACAACACTGCTCTACAGGATATAACATTGCTCTGGTCCAACCATACTTGTGATTACCATGCAGTGCTATGGAAAATTACATCAAAAGCACTAGTGCCTCCTTTGAGAAAGCTACCTATTTGTAGTGAATGGGTAGCTAAGCATAACACTGAAGTTGCTCTGGACCTGTATGTTAAACAGCTCCTTGAATGTAATGTTTGCAGCATCTTTTATGCTGCATGGACTAAAAAATAGTTGAATGCTCAGCTTCAACCTCACCTTAGTTTTGCATAAATGAATTGCAAAGTAAACACAAGCTACCCAACCCGCAATGGGTGTGGACTTGTAGGTGTCACTGACTCAAAGATTTCTGAATCTAGTCTCTGGCCCTTCCTTCTCCCCTATACTTCCCTTAAAGCTATGAATGTACTCAGCATAAAACACAGCTACACCTCTCATGCGTAATGCAGAACAATGACACAACGTTGTTCTACATATCTGAAAAATAGCCTCTACCTACCAAATTAATTATATAGTGATTAGGAAGTTGTCACTTTTGCAAATACAACCCAATCATTAGGAGTGACCAATTCTGTAACAATTTCCCTGCAAGTTCTGATCAGACTTAACTTTCCTTCTATCCTGTCTCTGAGTAACTAATTAAAATATTGTCAAGGTTTGTCACTAATGAGTTGTTTCACAAATGTTCCTTCCTGGGATATAAACCAATTCCCCATGCTGGATGGGGAATTCTGGGAGGTCCACACATCCTAAAGTTGCAAGTTTGAGAAACACTGGTTTAGTGTTTCATTTTTAACCTTGACAGCACACTTGGGGGAAAATTGGGTTTTTAAATTTACAATTAAACTCCAATAGTGTTAATAATAGTCCAGAATGTTTTGAATTGACTTGAATAAATATTGCAAGAATAACTGAGAAAGCCTCTTAACTACCAAACTCTACCAATCCTTTTGCCCTCTAAGTCAAATGAGCCCTCAACTGAACCATGTAGGCAGTTCTGGAAATTTATATCCATTGTTCATGTATTTCCTAATGCTCACCTCCCCTTATGGCAGTTCTTCTCCATAATTCCTTACTTCTCCATGATTCCTTACTTATTGCTTTCCATTCACAAGGCAAGTCAGGGCCTTCATCCTGCATAATCCTCAGAGTTACAATTGGAGAGTTCTTTAGCAGGTACTGATAAAGAAAGTATAGGATGCGAACATTAGAAATAAAGATTGTTTTCCAACTAAATACTGCTACCAATGAATCTAGAGCATTAGGCATATTCACTTATTTACTTTTACTTGAAAAACACATGTAAAACATTTTCAGTGCCAATCACAACCAGATGCTTACCTAATTAACCACAGATCTCAAAGTGCAGGCTGGCTGGGAATTCTGAGAGCTGCTTGCATTTGTTTCTAACGAACCTGGAGGATCTCTTTTAGCATAAACTGGTATAAGGCATATCATACCAAGAGTTAGTAGAGGCACAAGTCCACTTTGACATGTTTATATTAAACCAGACAATGTAGTTCAATGTTGTTGACTCAAGACCAGCAAATCACTTCTTAAATTAAGCTTTTGCTTTTTAAAAATTCTTGTCTGCTGCAAGAATTATTTCTCATACTGATAAGAGGAACAGCAGTTACCAAAATGATGAATGTATGCACCTTCACAAAGGAGGCAAGCCTCCTCCCCTCAACCATGAAAATAGTATAAGGAAATGAGCAAAAGGTTTTACCACCCATGAGCATCTCATTGGAATGTGCTGGAATTCTTTTGTTATACCTTTAACTTTCCTTCTAATAAATACTATTAATAAGAGCTTTAGGGTTCTCATTTGTTGGGTTAACTGTTTCCAAGCTAGACAGTAAAGAGAAAAGCCTGACATCTGATTAGGCTTATATGAAATAAGAGCTAGGCCCAATATTTGTCATGCCAATATTTCATCTCAACTTCAGGAAGATGGCTTAGTTTGCAAGGCTTAATTTGCAAAGTCTTGCTTTAACTAAAGTTTGTGCTGACTTGCATTAGTATGAATTGTGTTGCCACATTCATGGTGCATTGATCCTCTAACAGGCTTGATGTGCCTATTAATGTACTCTCTGGATGCAAAAATGTTCTCCATCACTTCCTGCTTTATACTAAGTAGACTAAACTTTTGG